GTACGCAAGAGAGAGAGAGAGAGAGAGAGAGAGAGAGAGAGAGAGAGGAGATGAGAGAAAGAGAGTGAGGCCGCCGAGGGTTCCCATCGTCGACGGCATTAGGATATTCAGGAGGCCCCCGGCCGGCGTTGCGTTGTGTTGCGCTGTGCCGTGGCGCGGCCGGGTGGACGTCGCCGCTCCCTGGTGGGGAGTCGACGGGCGTCGCGACGCTGCTCGGTAGCGCCAGGAACTAAAAGTCCGGGTGCCTCTGCGCGCCAGTGCCGAGCCCGCGATCGTGGCGAGCGTACGCGACGTGTCTCGTGTGCGTGTCCTGTACATAATTTCTTTCTCGCGCGCGCGCGCGAGAACCCGCGACTTTTGTGAGCTCACTGCTGCACGCGAATGAGTATCACGCGCGCGAATCGACGAACGCGAATCAACGAAACACGACGATTTTTCCTCCACGACGGTCCGACGTCGTCGTCGTCGTCGTCGTCACTGCCGCAGGTTGCGTGAGAGCTCGCAATTTTCACGGGCGGAAACGTAACGCGCCGCTCCGTGTCTTCGTCTTCTTCAGCGTCATCGCGGAGCGGCCACTCGGGAACAACGGGAGAATTCCCGATCCAGGATTTATCAGAGAGGTCGATGTCGAATTTAAAACGGGGTCGTTCACCATCGCGGGGGAAGTCCTGGGCTCTCGGGGCGTCTTTCTTTAGCCGGAGCGATCGCGTCGGCGACTGGTCCCGCGGGAACGACTCGTCGACGATGAGTCGTACTCCGACTGTTCTCTCCTCACTCTTTGTCTCTCGTACGTTCGTTTCGTTCCCATTACCCTGCTGCTGCTGCTGCGGATCACAGAAGGTCGATAATCATGGGCTGAGACTTGCATCGCCGGGTTTTTCCGGGCGTGATTCCACCGGTCGTGTCGCCTCTCCCTTACTCACTCTCTCTTTCTCTCTTTCTCTCTCACGATTCTCATTCTACGTTGGTTCTGCTGCGAATTACGGGACGCCCGCGACATGGTTGCTTAACGAGTCCAGTGACTTTTTGTCGATTGGTCATCCGATAATTGGCAGCGGCCAAGCCGGATTTTCGTCGTTTTCATTGGTGGCGAGGCGATCGGTGCGTCCGATGCGCGATCCACATCCGAAAGAATGACGGCCAAGTGCCGACAGGTGTTTTTGCTAAGTAAACACGGGATAATTGGCTGAATGATAGATGAGGCACGTAGCAACTTCGCGATACCACGTCTCTTAACGAGTAGTAATAGACCAACGGCACCGTTTCATTTCGACAAGAGACTGCGGTCCTTCTCCGCCGATACTTTTTCAAATCGTGAGTCGTCGTACGTTTTCCATGGGGAAACGTTATGGGTTTTCTGGAGACGCGTGCTGGTGAGCTCGAGAATTTGAATCGAGACATCTCCGTTTCGATTGTGTGCTTTGATCGATGATCTGGTCCCGATAAGGAATCAATATCCGATTAATTCATGGGAACGCGACGGACCTTAATCGCCGAATTCGCAACTCGATTTCTGTCAAGTCCGCTCTCCTCATGTCGCGATTGCCTGCACAGTCGCTTTGTCCCGACGTTGAGCGACCTTCTCCGGCAATTACGTGCAGTGACATTTAATATCCGCTTAATGAGTCCGAGCGGCGTCCCCGAACAGCGCGTTGATCGCGCGTATTTCGCGCAGTTTTGGGCGCGTTGTTGAATTTTTCCCGCGTCGCGTCGTTCTCACTGAAAAATAAAGAAGAGACAAAAAATCAGCCTCGGAAAAAACAGACGTTGCAAAAATGTGCGGCTGGAAAACTGCGTGCTTAGCGAAACAGCGTGCGCTTACACGCGGGAGAGCGCGCGCTGTGACGCCGCTGCCGCCGCCGCGAGACACTCTCGTTAGCGTCGCGAGAACGCTACCCCCAATATACGGTTTAGTTAATCGTAACGCGGGATCCCGCTACGTGTGAAGCTGATGAGCGCGTTTTAACGAGCGTTTTCAGTTAGCACGGCTGGCACGACATTCCTACCCTCGTTGGTCGACGAACAGCCCGCAGGACATACACATACACACACACGCACATACAGTTTGTCGCTCTTGTGTGCCTCAAGTTGATTCCCCCAGGTTGAAAGCTGGAAAGAGAAAGAGAGAGAGAGAGAAAGAGAGAATGAGCAAGCGAGCCCTATTAATAAATTCGATTCGTCACTTCAGGTTAACTTCAGATCATCCCTTGAAGTCGCGAGACTGATAGTCATTGAGCGATTTTTCCTTGTGCTCGAGAGACTGCAAATCGGTGCCGGGCGTGTCGTGTAATTCTGTCGACGACTAGAGAAAGAGAGAGAGAGGGAGGAAATTTCTCCTTCGACGGCGTCGACAAAATGCTATTATTTGGCTTCTCTTCTCCTCCATCGTTCTGGAAACCGCTCCGGGCGATGAGCGCGAAACTCGCTTTCTTGTTCTTTCTGTTGTTCTTCATTCCCCTTTTCTTGACGCGCATCAAATTTGCGATAGGCTAAAACGAAGGTATCAACGTAGAAGGAGCCGCGTTCGTGAAATAAAGAAGATTGAAACGAACTCGGAACTGACGCGTTCTACCCTCCGGCGCAAAAGGTTAATTATCGCGTTATCGCGGCGCGTCGATGCGGGCGCGAGCGTAATAAAGGAATGCAAAACGTGCGTGCATCGTCGCAAGGTCAGCGTGATTACTTTTCGACCCGTCAAGACTCCCAACTTCTCGCGAAAACCAATAAATTCATTGGATCCTACTTTCCGAGAGCGGATACGCATTCCCCCGACCCTTCGCTCCCTCTCTTCCGTGTGGCTCAAGTTTTAAACTAGTAAAACTCTGCCAGCCTAAAACGTGAGGAGACGTATAAGTAAATTCGATTTAATAGCGCAAGTTGGACCATACATCACGATTAAAGTGGAACCGACGCGCGGGCGGACTTTCCTCCGCCCGAAGAAAAACAACTCGTACGATGTATCGAGGGGAGAGCCGAGGGGAATCTCGTGGGGGAAAATCGTGTGTTGCAATTCCGCGTTCTGCCGTGCGCGATATTTTCGTACACGATGGCGGCTACTGCTTCACTTATTCGTTGATTTCGCGAGACTTTACATTGTTCCATTCTCGAACACGATTCTCAGTCGCGAACGCCTTCCTTTCAACCGTGGATGATTAACCGCGCGGAGAAAAAAATATCAGGTCGCTTGCTTGCCCTCACTCCCTTCCTCCCTCCCTCGGAGTGATGCATTGAATGTTTGAAACGCGTCGAGAAATCATAACATCCGCAACGAAGCTCGGACGCGAAGGGGAAGAGAATAGCTTCTCGTTCGAATGTGACTACATGTGCTGCTTCTCTTTCTTCGACCCGACGAAATTTCCAGTGAAAGGGCAAAAGTTCGTGATGGATTTTGCGATGAGTTCCTCACGCTATTTAGCTAGTATCGTAACTATTACGTTCTCCTCTATCCACGTACGTTGTGGTAGCCATCAGAGTGTCATGTTTTCGCATATTCAGCCACTCAATATAAATAATGGGACAGCGAAACTTTTCATCGTCATCGTCGCGACACGTACGCGTTTCCGTATATTAATGCAACTTTGATTGCTCGACAAATAATCTTGGAAGTGGGGCGCGCACTCCTTCGTAAATGTCAAGTTCGCTCGACATTTACGCTCGTACGATAATAACGTTGTTGTAGGAGCTGTCTTTGCGGCGGCAGAAAGTTGCTTAATGGACAAAAATGGAAAACGTTTCGAGAAAACATTTCGCCGGGTCAATCGCGTCTGCAAGTCTGGCTGGTGTAAATTATCAAGCAGAACTGGCCACTATTCCGCGACGTTCCTTTATTATGCAACACCTCCTTGCGAGAATTGCTCCGTTGACTCATTTATACACTTAGACCATATCACTCAGGTTATTTTCTATTTTTGTGTTCTATTTATCGCACTTATCCGTGGCTTTCGTTAGGAAAAGGAGAAAAATAAATGTGAAATTCTCAGGATGATACGCGATGGATTCGCGAGGATATTCGGTTAAGCAGTGGATAGGAGAGGTGCGAGCCGTCTGGGAGATCGCAGGGCGCTCCGTTCATAGATCCTTTAAAGTTGCCCGAGCTCGAGATCTTTTAAACTCGAGTACGAAGTTGGCTGGTGCGGAAGAACGCCGCGGAGGCTCCGGCAATTAATCACTTAGCGGTTTTATTCAATTACGTCTCGTTGCGGAGCGGAGAGTGCCGTTGAAACTGGCGAGAGAGAAAGAAAGTGCGCGCGCGGGAGAGAGAGAGAGAGACAGAGAGAGGAGGTAAGAGAAGGTGAAGGAATGTCGGGGCACGGAAACGGTACAGGGCGACCAGGAAGTTACCGTCGCCACTGAGGGAGCTTCGGAAACCTCGCAAAAGTGTTATTCGAGTCGTGGGTCGCAACGGTGGTCTGCCACAACGGCAGGCGCCGTGCGCCGCATCTCTCTCTCTTTCTCTCTCTCTGTGTGTGTGTGTGTCTCTGTCTCTTTCTTTCTCTGTGTCTCTCTCTATCCGACATGCGAATATATCTAACGAAAAGCCAGGCGGGTTCTCCTTGCACACGCCTGATGTGCACTCCCCGTGAGTTCATCGATCATCGACGATAAAGCCTGTCGAGTCGAAGAAGCCGATTTACCCTTCGCCTTGGTGAACCACGCGAGAACGCTCGCGTCTTGCTCCTTTCGCTCATAATAAAATACGCGAAAGAGAGCGAGACGACGGCGCAAGAGATCTCGTGGTGTATCAGGACGAATTCACACGACTGATCATTAGAGTCGTATTCAGTACATTTTACTCTTGTCCCGCGGGAGCTCGTCTCCAGCACGACGTCACCCCCGTTTCTCACTCGGTCGGTGCGAAGTAGAAAAGCCACATCTTTCTTTCTCTCTCTCTCTCTCTCTCTCTCTCTCTCTCTCTCTCTCTCTTTGCGTCAATGCTGTTGACTTTTCGTTTCTTTCCGCGAAAGTTGTCGGACGACTCGCTGATCCTCTTCGCGCTATAGTTTCCTCTTCGGGTCGTCGAGGTTGTCCGTTAGCCCGGTTCTCCGGTTCTTGTTCTCGTGTCGCTATATCTTTGTCATCTCGGGTCCCTCCTTGTTTCCCGTTGCTTCGGCATTCTCTCGATCGCGTAAATTCATCGCTCGTGCCGAAGCGGATTCAAGGTGCACGAGTCCGCAGCCACGCCCGAGCTTTCTTGCCCGAGGCGCGGAAATAATCGGAAGAAAGATGTCGTGCGAGTGAGCCAGGGACTACCTCGCGATAAAGAAGCGGGAACGCGTCTCATCTCGCTATTCTTCGTCGTCGCGACGAAGACTCGAACGTGGACCTTTCCTCGATTTGCAGAACGAACGTGGTCCACTCTCGTCGCCAACGAGTCTGCGAACGACGGTTGTCAGTGATAACGCGTGACTTGTGATTCGCGAGAGATATTCTACCATCGCATAAAGCAGGATTCGCGGAAATCCGCGGCTTTGAGAGAACGAGCGGAAGGAAGTCGCACGCGACAATCCTTCGGGGAACGAACCTTCAGCCGAGAGGGAGTGCTATGAGTGCTGAACGCGGGTTCTTTCGTGACGTTAAACGGCGATCGGGTCGCGAGCGGTTCGAAAAACATACCATCGAGTGATCGGCGCGCGGCGGGAAAGGACCGGACGTCGCGACGCGGAGGACCTGGTGGATCTCAAGAGTGAGAAAGAGTGGAGGAAGGGGAAGAGATCGTGCGAAGGACGACCAGGAATAAGAAGAAGAAGGAGAGACGAGAAGCAGAACGGGAATTACGGAAGCACAGTGTGTTCTTTTTGGTTACGCGGAGGAAAGCGAAGAGAAGCGTGTGCGGCGCAGAAGAGAGGCGGGGAAAGTAAGACGAGCTGGAGGACGACCGGGTGGAAGTAGCCTGCAGGTGGGAAGGAAGGTGAAAAAGAAGATGCGGTGCCATCCGATCGTTCTCCTCGCCGGCCTGCTCACCGTCGTCCGTGCGCAAGGTCAGTCTCTGCCCGGCATCCCTCCGTCTTATTTATTCTTACTCTTCGTTTCCTATTATGGCGCCAATTATGCCTTACTTTGCGTTCTCCCGCTCTGGCCCTGTACATTCCGGTATGTATTTATTCCTTGGTGGCGTTATTTTCGCAGTCTGCGAGGGACCGTTCGCGAGTTCCAGGGAGTTTCTTCTCCCCGTTGCTTTCTTTTCACGAGTCTTCTTCCTCTTCCTCCTCGTGAAGATACATTCCGAGGGCGTCCCAGTCGCGAACGCAGGCATTTCGCAGTGGGCGAAATTGTGGTATTGCTCGAAGCGCGACTTGACCGGATGATAAACTCGACTGTCGTCCGGATTACGGAGTGATAGAAAGAAATCGACGGCGCCACAGCGACGGGAACACGTTTAATGCTCGCTTTGATACTCTCGCCGGCTTCGTAAAAATTAATTATGCCGGCAGTCGGAGCCGCGGCATGCGATATATCTCGCGAAAAGTTTGGGGCCCTAGTAATATTGCGTATAATAGGACGTTATAATACGAGTACAAAAGCAACAACCATTTGCTCTTGTCAAACTTTTTATGTACACACGGGTCTTCTAGCACGGAGTGGAATTCAGCATCCGACGAGAACGACGTGGATTTTAATTACACGGTTTTCCATCATACGAACGCCTGTATAAATATACCGCGCTCCGTAACTCGCGAAAGTTTTCAAATAGCTGCTGTGCAGGTACAATACCGTGAACCTCAATTGATGGGCCAAGACCCAAGATGATTCTCCGTCGAATGCGATGTTTGAAGTAAAAGTGCCAATTCCCACACACGTGTCTAATCCTGAACATCCTTTCTTTAATATTTTGGCGTTTAAACACAAACATTTGAACTTTTAGCATGGGATATGTGTGTATATTTAATATAAGTATATGCATATTTTTTTGGAAGTTTGAATATTTAAAAATTAAGAGATATGCAGAATTGAATATCTGGCCATTGGTACTTTTATTTCACGAGGCTTGAGTAGAAAATTGTGCGACACATTGTGTGTCGATGGCAATTTCACGATCGCCATATTGTAATTATTGCTCTTTCAAAGAAAACTGTGTATAGGGGAAATATTTTTCTATCAACATCCAACGAGAGAATTTTCAGTTTTACTAAATGAACTTTTCTTCTGACAACGCTTCCTGATAGACTAATACACGTAAAGCAACGTTAAGCATATTAAATCACGAAATTCAGTAACATCGAGTTTTTCATGACTGATTAGACCGTACTCATATTTTTATCACATGGAATAACAAAATAGAGATATGAAAGAAATATGAAATAAGTAACAAAATTTGCTTTAAACAATATGTTGTGTTGAATATAATACGAAAATTTCAGTGTAACTTTTAGTCAATTTGTTGTTGTATCAATACAACAACAAATTTGTATCAATATAACAAAAAATTTACATTATCATATAATATAAATTCAATCATTAACTTAATATATACACTTAATATATACAGTATATTTCATGAATATAATTAAAAGAATTTTCAAATTTCCATCAATCGATTTCTTTACGTCGTGGTAATTATGAAAGTCTATTTGGTACACGATACACTTAATATTATTTAGTATTCGCGCCAAGTTGTCGCGTGCATATATTCGCGTGAATTCTGATGCTCGCTCTGCGCGAATATGTATATATACACATACACACACATATATACACACTCGGCAATGCCCAAGATCCTTCGTGTTATAGTGTATGAGCTTATCGCAACAGAATAAATCGTACTTGTCGCCGGCGTAGAATCTTGCGCGACGCAACTTTTCATACCTGTCGGATATTTCGTTCACAACTGAAATTTGTTTAACACTCCATTCAGTCTATTTCCCTAACAATGGCGCACGTGCCGACGTTCACGTGTAACGCCGTGGTTTCACGCGTATCTGGTGACGTCTACCCATTGTCGCGAGCTGGCCATTAATCATCGTCGCGCGAGGACGCTTCCTAAAAGCAACAACAATATTATTTTACCAGAGTGGCACGATTCTCTGGTCCTCCGGCGTTTTCTTCTTTCCTTTCTCTCTCTATCTCTTCCTCTCCCTTTCCTTCTTTTTTAAAAGCGATCAAGTTTTTTTACAGTTTTTACGTGCCTCACGCGCAATATTGCGCACGAGATGGAAAGAGTATTGCGCTCCTCCATCTTGTCTTACTTTTCTTTCTCATCCTCTCTTCACATTTCTTTCCTTTGTCGCTCTTCTCTTTAATTGCCTTGCTTTGAAGTGAGAAAATGCAGAAAGGGTGACGGAAGTGCGGCAAAGAGCGGAGGATTATGATGCACTTAGCTCTCGCGGTCGTTTATTTAGCACGAAATTTTATACGAGGGTTGTATTTTTTTCACAATTTGGACGATTCTTCCTTCTTGCTTCGCATGGAACTGCGTCGATAAAGACTTTACGACTCCGCGTATGTCCGCGCTTGTGATCCTCGTTTATTTCGCTATTATTAAAGTATTTATACCGCGGGCTTTTCGGGAACGTAACTTTATTACTAATATTGTTATTATTATTATGCCCCAGCGACATATAAAGTGCGGAGATTATCGATGGCATTTATAAGTTGGCACTTCCGCCAAATTGATTTTCCGAGGGGTTTCGTTGGTTGTTTGCGGGCTTAATTATGCGCGCGATATTATTTCCGCGCTGCAAATAATGTCGCCCGACGCGCTCATTAACTCTTTTATGATATCAATTTTTGGTCGCTAAAATAACTCTCGGTCTATAATACCCGTCAATAATGTGTTCGGGCATGCACAACGAAATACGGTATTCTCCATTACGGACACATTATCGCCACGTTTTACGTCTGCACGGCGAAGCCCGCACGGTTTTTATTAATGCGAAACGCTTCCGTCTCGGCGCCTTATTGCTCACCGTAATCTCAGAAGAAACTTTCCGTTTCCGGTTTATCCGGTTCATTTAATCGTTTCGCGACTCGTCCAGCATTGCCAGGTGCGCGTGCCTGTGCACTTGAGTCTTGAGAAGGTGCACGAGCGGTCGCGTTGACGCATTGTGCGCGCTATTGTATTTACGTTGAGAGATAAAGCCTGCGAAATCTTGGCAGACAAATCTCCCTCCCGCGCTCTTTTTACGCTTATTTGATTTCTGTCTTTCGACACGTCTGCTCTACTTGAATTGTTTTTCTCAACTTTGATTTTTAAATAACAAACTAACTTTTATCGAAAATATTATAATAATCAATATTTTACTTTCTTTGTTGCTTGAATTCTCAGAGCGCCTAATTTATTATGCTATCACTCTCTCTCTCTCTCTCTTTCTCTCTCTCACTCTCTCTTTATTTTCGCGATGACAGAAGGATTGCTTGACTCGTGAATTCCATCGAGTGCTAAAGAAAGCTTGACACGTGCTACGCGTGTCACCCGCTCGAGAACGAGGTGTGATAATTTTACAATAATCCGCTCGAGAGGATAATCGAAGTTAAGCCGCGCGATTCCACTCGAGGGTGCCTTATTCCACCCTGTATGCTTTATTCGCGACTTCTGACCCCAACTTCTGGTCTTGGCTTCTCGCATTCAGTCGTTCGCCGTACGGGTCGCTATCGCCGCGATCTTTCGTGCCGTTTCTGTTTTTACTCTTGCTCCCAGCAAGGGTGGCTCGAGAAACTGAGTCGTCGTCGCTGCCGTCACTAGCACACCACCACCGAGGCCTTTTCTGTAATCAAATCCGGGCCGCACGCGTGGGTAGGCGTGCGAGCGTGCATGCGTGCGCGCGTGCATACGTGCGTGCCGCGTGCGCGCTTGCATGCGTGCCGCACGATCACCGAGGCGTGGTCGCTGGCGAATTACGTGTCCCCGGTTTATGCCTCCCCTCTTTGTCACCCCCGTTGCGTCCCCCCCCTGCCACCCCCCTGGCTATTCCTTTCGCGCACCCCTGCGAGCAGCAGCGGGTCGTCCGGTTCATGGTTGCCATACGGTCGTCGGTCTCTTTCTTTCTTACTTGTACTTATTACGCTGCTATGGAGGGCTTCGAGAGCGCAGGTTGCAGGCGCGTGTCGGCTGCGGCTAAGTCAGGTTTTTTGCGCGCTACTTTGGCACACACGCGACTTCCTGCCTTTGAATATTATGGATTGCTGGCGAAATTATGGCGCAATGTGTCGAGTCCACTGTCTGTTTTTGTCTCTTTCCTTTTCTTCCCCCAATCTCTCTTTCTCTGCTCTTTATGCAAAAAGGTATCTTTGACGGCGAAATGAATGGTCGTCGGGAGTATCGGGTTGGGTAATCAGGGAAATAGAATAAACAGCGCGTTGCAGTGGGTCTTTGAGCGAACTCGATTATTATTATTTGACGAGGTAACAGCTGGCGAAGTGCGCGATTCATATTTTTCTTGGGAACTCGAAGAGAGTCAATATCACGGAGAGCGACGTATATATACTTCGCTGAAAGTACCCGATCGCGGTGAGTTTTTAAATGAATCTTAGGGGCCACTTTCTCGAATTGCGCTAATGGCGAAATCGGAAAGATCAAAGTTGACTGAGAGGAAGCACTTGTGGGACGACTTGATGACGATACAGCGCGCAGCGTCGTTTCACCCCATGTTGTTTTAGGAAGACCATTTGACCGTGAGCACGTGTGCGCTACCCTTTTAACTTTCCTGGAGCGCGCGTATTTTGACATCTTTATTTCACATCGACGACTCTGTCGCGTGGAAACGTTAGTTTTCGTTGGGTCACGGGAATTAACGTAGGATATATTGGTGAATTAAATTAGCCGGCTGGTCGCACTGACGCGCGTTTTAGTGGTCATTACAGATTTTAGATCTTTTACCAAAATAACGACAAATTCAACTTATTGAGATAGAAGAAAATGAATAGGATAGGTAGGTAGAAAGATAGATTAACCTAAGGATTTATTAAAAGCGCGATGAGAGGGGAAAAATAAGTGATAAGGTGTCCGAATAAAGTGTCCAGAATTGACGAGTGAGCCGCGGCA